CCACATGAGGGAATATTCATTCTGCCCAAAGCACATTCTTCCATTCAATTCACACGTGCCCATTCCATTGAGAAACCCCACCAATTTCAACCCCTTCAAATTGAACAGCTTTAACTTGAGGCTTTAAGCTTTGCCGTGCTGCATGGATTTATCGGTTTAATCCGCACTTCAGCCGGTGCGGGTGAGCTTTTCAGCCGCCAGGAAAACACCTCATGAAATTAATATTCATGACGTGTTGTGGAAAAAATAATGAACGTTCAATTTATGAATGCATGTAATCGGATTATTCGTATGTTGAATCACTGTCAATTTGATTGAAAAAGTCTTGACAAACAGACGCCAATTCATGAACCTGACAAAATGATTTTTACATAATTTACCAAAGAGTGTAATTTGAAATGAAATTTTTAAATATATTTCTATAATCATCAAAGTGATGGAAATTCCTGGGAAAAAAAGCTCCGAAATGAGTTGTTATTCAGAAATTGATCGGAAAAAAAAATTTAATATGCGCACAAATTTGCAATCAATTACGCAAAAATTATATAAAGAATGCAAATAATTCAACACTGAATGTGATATGAAAAGTATTTTCCATGAAATTTTTTTTTTGATGCGGTCTAAATTCTCTCATTCTCTATGTACGATAAATGGTAATTATTTCAATATTGCATTGTAATTGGAATTTGCAGAAAAAATTCAATTCCCTTCTATCAAAATATTTAACATCACTCTGTGAAAATTGGACGAAATATGTTCTGCATAATATTTCCAGTAATTTGACTGCTGTGAAACATATTAATTAGGGGTGGGCTTGATTCGAAATTTTCGTATAGAGTACACAAACTGGGGGCGATTTAGTTGATAATGCCCAGTATATTTAGCATTTGCATAGTTGCAATTGAGAAGCCATCAAATATATTGTCTTCTCGCACAATTGCCAGATACAAATAGCTGAGAATCAGTGAACTGGCTCGTGCAGTATTGCTTTATGCCTGATTGCATTTTCCAGCCACTGTGTTTGACATGGCATCCTGAGAGGCACTCTCGCTTCGCGCGCGTGTGAATGGACTCGGAGCTTCCGCAATGGAGCCTCGCCGAACTGCTTCCTTCGCAACAAATGCAGGCGCGATGTGAGAGCTTTCACAATATAAATAATGTGACTTAAAGGGGAAATCAAGGGGCAGATATTATGATCAAAATTTGCATTGCAAAAACTTCTGTTTCAACACATTGAAGCATTTTCTAAATTACCTTAATTAAAAAGATCATTTAGTCAGAATTTTTCTAATCAAGACAGAAATTGTTGAGGCGGAAAAACCCGAATTGGATTATGATAAGTTAGAAATGCGTGTAAGAAATAGTTGAAGAAGTCTAAAAAGTTATTAAAGACGTTCAGAAGTGTCTGAAGTGACATATTATCTCCTCCTTGGGGGAAATATGTCGCGGTTCGGTTCACAAATAGGCAAGATGAATATCTGAATTTGACATTTCTTCTCCCAAAAGATTACGTCTCTGCAATGAAAGAAAATCGGATCAGACAAAATCGAAAAACTCTATTCAGCTCAATAATAATTTATTACATTTCTTTCTCAATTACATTACAGTTCAGGGGAGTTGGGATGGTAGTTTTAGGCAAATACACGCATTCTGACGATGGTTCTGGGATTGGAACCGGAAGTATGGGAACAAACTGATGGGGAACAAGAATCGGCTGCACATTTGCTGATCTCCGCCAGGCTCTGCTTCGGTGGACGCTACGCTTTGGCGCCTTCATCCTCTTTCTTGGCTCCACCTGGTACTGATCTGTCGGCGAACGAAGCTGCAGCGGCAGAGACATCCTTCTGGAGTTGATTTGCTGTTCAGGACTGGTCGGCCAAAGCTTATTTAGAGCATCGATATCACGTTGATCGGGAAGATTAATCGGAAACGACATTCTCTTTGATTCAGTCTCAGATTCAGAGTGCTGCAGGGGAAGTGTTTGCTCAATCTTCAGTCTCCTCTTAATTTTCTCAGGTTGAATATGTTCCAGAACACTTGAATCGATTCCAGCATCATTTAGAAGTGTTTTCCACTTTTCGTTGAACTTATTTCGCACCTCTTCGGATATGTTTGTATGATGAAAGAATCCCTCGATGCTGAAGAAAGGCTCCACTTGTTTGGGATTCTGTACAATCTTGGGTTTTAAGTCGAAAAACTCCTTGTCAGCCTCGGAAAATGTCCAAACACTGGGGCTTGGACTGGATGGTGAGAAATGCTGTGTGGACTCTTCAGAAGCCGCAATTACTTTACATTTCTCACCGAGAGCGTACTCTAAAACACTTTTCACGACATGTCGAGTCTGAGCGTCCAATCTTCGCTCCTCTTTCTGCTTCTCGCGGTATTTTCTTGACTTTGTCATTGTTTATCACGCAAATTTCCTTTATTCAGCTATGTTCTCACTTTGGCTGTTGGTTGAAAAATGTGATCTTTGTGCCATTTTGACCGGTATTTATATGCTTTTCAGTCTGTGTGCAAAAATGGTTGATAATTATTTTTCAGTCAAAGCACAATTTCTCAGTCAATTAATATGTCTTTTCTTATCTGTTAAGTCTGACAAGGTGCGAATGTGCCGTAAATTGTCGTGTGGGCTTAGCCATGGACCCAGCTTTAGGTCCAATTTAAACAATACCTGACTCGGGAGTTTATCCCAAAGGTGACACGCAAAGCCTGAATTTTTTGCACCCCGAGCAAATGAGATGATGGCTAATTAAGGGTGGGATTTTGCGTCTGAACCCCCGAAGCTCTCGCCACACTATTGAATCCCATCCACACTGGGTCAATTAGGAGCAGTTGGAGCGCCGGACAAATGTATCCAGTTGATTTTCCCAGGCTTTATCTTCGAATGGCTGCAAGTGTGCCCGGCAATAACACTCTCGCACCACTAAAGCTTTGCATCATTAAATGGGGATTTTCAGAGTTGCTCCAGCAGAGAGAATGACCAACACGACAACACCCAGGGTCTGGTCGTCTGAGGTTTATCTCATGGCCAAAAAATGTCCCCAACTCTGGCTGGAGCGAAGAAGAAAGAAGGGCGTGCAAAAAGTGGAGGCATTCACAATGTCAGGGAGAGTGGCCTGAAAGAGCCAGAAAAGTCACAGATTTCATGGGGTTTCACTGATGTGGAGAAATTCATTTTGCCAACGAAGAGAGTGTGAAGGTGTCTCGAGGAGTTGACGTGACTTGAGGAAATCTCTTCCATTTTCCACATGTCATCACACTTTTCACGTGATATTTTCTTTCACAAGCCCCTGAATTCTACAGCATTTTCACATTTCATGACTTGTGTTGATTTTCCCATGAGAGTATCATAAATTTCGCCCCCTTGTTTCATCAGCACAATTTAATATCCTACACTTTTCACCACATCCTGGCGTGTTTTGGGGATATTACTACTTATATCAAGACTTATATAGAGAGGAGAATCTGAAACATTTGTGGTGATGTTATTGGAAGAAGTTCATGGTGTGAATATTTGCCATTGTGCGGTGTACTTAATGTAGTTTGAAAATATTCACAAGCCTGAATTCACATTAACAAATCAAAATAAATGCATTCTATTAGTGAATTAAGCATAAAAAACCAACTGCAAGAAGAGTAAATAAGCTGATAAACATCAAATAACACGATTTTAACATTTCCACAAACTTTTAGTTTAAAAAATTCTCAACTAACAACACTATAATTGGGATTGTCTATGGTATTTTTCTTTGAATCTCGTGCTAAATTAAATTCAACTTAAAACATATTCTTATGTTCCACGGCAAATTGTGCCTCCGCTCACAATTCAAAGCCATCGCCCCAAACTTTCGGGAAAGTTACTTGCAATTGAAAAGTGCATCATGAAAAGTGAAGAAAGTTTTCGAGTTGTGCGACCAAATGGGGATTGTGATTAGAAACTGTTGTTGAAAAGCAATTGATGGTTCAGCATAAAGTTTCTTGAGTAGCAAATAAAGTTCCTGGAATATTTTACGACTTCATTAATCATCTATTGACTACAAGATGATTATGAATAAATCGGTAATTCCTTGAAGGGTTTTTGGCCCAAAATCTACCTGTCAGCCTATAAATATGGTGCCATTGATCGGTTGAGGATCAGTTGAGAGTTGACCACTGAACGAGTGACATCAGCAAAGCCAAGAAGTCAAGAGCAAAGAATGGATTCTGAAGACGATTTCGGTCCTGTGTGCTTTGAGTATCCTGTTGATCCGGAGATGCCGCCGAAGAATGGCTGCGTCGGACGCATGAATTCACCCATTCCTGACAGCGAAAGGATGGTGTTCCTGCCCACAAGGCCGCCGTGTCCTGTCCACAACTCTTTTCCCCACCGTGAGTACATTGTGTACGCATCGAAGGAGCCTCAGTGTCGCCATTGTCCTGCCCCTGCCGAGCCGCCACAGGAGTACTTTTGGCGGGAGACTATAAAGGTGTTCTACGAGACGACCGCCATCCTAGATTTCATCGTGCTGAAGCCCAATGTGCCCTTCATCGATCACCGGCCGCGATTCCTGTTCCACCACGCGCCGCCGGTCCCCTTGCGCGAAGCGTCGCCAGGACAAATCCTGATCGAGAGGACGTACTGCATTCCCGTGGAAGTTGACGGAGAAGTTCTCTACATTGGCGTTCATCGCTTCACTCCACTGGAAACCTGGCCAGAAGATGCACCTCAAATTTATGTGGATATCCATTTTCACAGAGTGTACAATGATAATGAAGTTTGGATTTGAAAATATACACTTTATAATTTTGTAAACTACTTAGATTTCTTACACACCCACATTTCCACTCCGCACATCTCTCTGCAAAGTCAATTCCCCATGCCAAATCCTCTGTGCTGAGAAGATTTTGTCGTCAGAGATTACGAGGGAGAGAATGTCATGAAGAGCTGCAACAATCTAGAAGAACATGCATTCCTATTAGTCAGGCTGAAAATTGGGTGTGAGTCGATTGTACTCACTTAATTAGAAAGCTGATCCATGCATTTTAATCTCCAAATCCCTCCCTTTCTCTCCACACTCAATCGATAAATTTGTGCTGCTAAGCTTTTGCATGCGAGAGCGCATCTCTCTCAGGAGATTTCTGTGGCACCGACTTAGAATTGCTTGCAACCCTTTCGCCAGCATTTTGGGCAAGAGTCGAGTAATTTCCATTGCCTCCATGAGGCACAGCTCGGTTTCGTCATACTCTGATCTCGTGTAGAGCACTTGAGCGTTGGCAATGGTACTCAGGAAGCACCACGAAGGACTTCCCACCTTCCTCGCGGGCTCGGAAATCTTTTCCACCGTCGCACTGACTTCCCATGACTTTTCTGGAAGTGTCTTGGATTGAATGGTGAATATTTTATACATGATGTACGCCTTCTCCAGCGGAAAGCGCACAAATTCAAGATGACTCTCGAGTTCTTTCACCCTCTCCCTGTCCGTGAAGCTATCCAAGTGCGTCACTTGTGTGCGTTTAGGCAATTTCAGGAGATGCGGAGCACCTATACCCTCGCGACCATTCTCAATTTCCACCCCAATCATCTCCCTGATGTACGCCTCACCGGCTAACTCCATCACCCGCTCCACAAAGTCTCCCACCGCCGGAAATGACTTCTCCGTGACGGCACAATAGAACGGCCGGATAGCATTGTCGATGTATTTCAGTAATTTCCTCGGGATCTCCGTCATTGTGGTCAGCTCTTCCGCCAAGCGTCGGGCCTTCACCTGATTAATCACCTTCATTTGCTGCAAATGCGTCTCAATGGCCTGCATCTTGGCACTCCTCGTGATGAATCGCTCCTCCTGACGCACATAAAGAGGAGTTCTCAGGTGCAATTGGGTCTTCCAAGCTGCACACTTCTCTAGACTCTCCCTCAACACCGCCTTGATCTCCTTATTCACCTTTCTCGAGTGCTCAGGGAGACTTTTATTGCGTATATCGAGCCTTTTGTCCACCAAAAGTCCCTTCATGAACTCCACATCAGATGACAATTGCTTCAAGTACATCTGATCAGTGACTTTGCGGAGGTCTCTGAGTCTCTTCTCCTCCAGAGGATCTCTAATGCGACTGTGCTTGTTCTTTCTCTCAAAGTTGCCGAACTTTTCACAAGGTCCTTTGGTGTCTTTTGCGTCTTCAGCGTGATTTTTCTTCACCAGGAATTTGGAGGTTTTGGCAATTCTCTGCTGACCAGCCTTGCCCAGGGAGTCTTGCAGTGTCTGCTTAATTGTGCGCTCCCAAGACACGCAATCATTGAAATTTCTATCGCAAGCCACAGTCGCAGCCTCGGCAAACTTGGCTTGCTGGTAGAGACCATCTGTGAGAACTTTCCAGCACTCGCCATAGCGCGGAAGATGACTTTTCGCCTCCTCCACCTCACTCACAGCCTCAGCAACTTCACCTTTCTTATCACTGTCCCTGAACGCAGCCTGAATCCTGCGACTCCGCGCAAAGGGGTTGATTTTATCAGCATCTAAATCCATTTTCCATACACAATTTCCAAAGCTTTTGTCCTCGCCTAGCATGATTGAGTATTGATTTTAAGGCTTTTGTGGTAATCGTCCCTGCAGGCTCTCCAATCTATTGTTCTCTTTATTACCCGGTGATTGGAAAATGATGCTAAATGAGCTTTGCAGTGTGCTGCACAATTCACAGTGAATGTATGTTCATTATGAGCTTTTAATATGTTCGGTGAATCAGTTAGTCCATTATATTGTCATTGAAGGCGATAGCTTTATGTAGAAGACAATTTGTACCAGCATCAGGATGTCGATGAATCTCTTCTGTTACAGATGACAAGCTAAAGGACCATTTCATGAACTTTGCTGATCATGAAATTGATTAAATATTGGAACAATTTATTAAATATTGAACAATTCACATCTCTTTCGCACTGATTGATTCTATAATCCACTCTCTGTAGGCGGAAATTCTTGTGAAGACGTCGCCAAAGTTCTGGGCGCACGGCACTCCCCAGCTCACGATGCCCACCAGCTCATTCCCCAGCACAAGAGGCGATCCGGAGTCTCCCATGCAGGCGCCAGCATTCTCCCGGATGGCACAGATGTTCGTGTCACGGATCGGCGGTGAGTAAGGATCCACGCTGTGCTTCTTGCGGCACTCTTCATTGCTCATTGTGACCATCGAGAGCGCTTGCAGAGTGCTGGAAACACTTCCTGGGTACACCTGCTGCCCCCAGCCCGTGAGGAGAGCTTCCAGGCCCTCTGGGATGATCCTCTGGCCCAACACGGCCGGCTGGACGAGATCGCTGAAAACGATGGGCGCTTCCGTCTCCAGCAGCGCAATGTCGTCCGTGAGCGTGTGGGCATCGAAGGAGGGATGCCTGAAGACGTAATCCACGCGATAGCCAAGTCCATCGTTGACAGATCGTGAGCCTACGGCGGCCAGAAACTCCCCGGGCTTCTTTCCCAGCGTGCAGTGACCCGCTGTGACGACCCAGGACGCACTGAGAATGGCTCCTCCGCAGAAATGCTGATTCATTAGCGTCCTCAGTGACACTTGATACTTTCCTTGACCAACTTCGGCATCCTGTCCGCCCACAATTCGCTGCAAATTCCTCCCCAAAACCGCCCCAATCACCACAAGCAGGAAAACAGTTGCACGCAACATTTTACCAGCAGAAGAAGCACGACTTTAGTGGAAATATTTCCTGATGCAGAGGCACTTTTATCACATTCCACAGTGTGGTCTTATCAATTGGACAATTGAAGGTGTCTTACGTGATTTAGTAATTAATTGCCAACATGAAAATTTAATTTGCGCGTCGCCAGAATGTCCAAAATAGTCTCCCGTTTGGGGCTCTCCAAAGAAAAGTGTGTGAAATAAATCAAAAGTGAGTGCAATTGAATTGCCACTGATAAGATATCAAATCTTTGTGAGATTTACTACGATGTGGGATTACATTTGAGCGGACAATGCGAGGAAAGTCCCACTGGACATTCCTTATGTTGTCAGGCAAATTGATAAGGATGATAAATGCAGTTTTTTTTGTTTTTGAGAGATTAGAGTTGTTCTAAATATGGACCAGCGAGTTATTACAGAGCAATTGTTTATTTTTGGTGAGTAGAAAAGTACAAAATTGACAATATCTCATGGTCAGGTCACGTTGAAGCTATGCTAAATTAGTTCTTTAGTCTGATATGTTGGCTAGGATCCATGCGCGATGAGAGGAAATCCTGGTGAAGACATCTGGATAGGAAATTGCACATTGCACACCTGAAAGGGGAAGGAATTGAATGTATAATTCTTGAATTCCAAGCTTAAGTGCTCAATTCTACCCCAAGAAACAATCCCAACGACTGCATTTGCCGAATTCAGAGGTCCTCCAGCGTCTCCATAGCAAATCCCTTCGTCAGTGCGCGTAAACGTGCACAACATGCTGTCATCCACGAGAACAGCGTTGGCTGGTGGCAGTCGAATCTTGCAATCCTCATTCGTCAGTGTCCCCAGATTGACCCACTGCAGATTTTCAGGCAGTGGTCCGTGCTCAGAAGTCATGCCCCAGCCCGAAGCGATTCCAATCACAGATCCTCCAATGTGTCCTGAGCCCAAGGCGATGGGCTGAATGAGGGAAGAGTAAATGATGGCCTCACGGGTTTTTATCAGGCCAATGTCGTTCAGCATGTTGTTCTCATTGAAGAGTGGGTGGACAATGAAGGTGCTCAAGGGACACAGCAGCGAATCTGAGAGCAGATGAGAGCCAATGAATGCATTGACACTGGTCACTGCGCGTCCAGACAGGCAATAGGCGGCAGTGAGGATCCATCGGGTGCCGATAATGGCTCCGCCGCAGAAGTGGATGCTGACCAGATTCCGCAGGGACACTTGGTAGGGAAATTGACCTCTGGCCGCATTGCTGCCGCCCACAATGTAGCCCTGATTCTGCTCAGTCAGTGGTACATCTGCAGAGACACACAGAAAACCTCATGGAAAAGGATTTGAAGCAGCGTGAGAAGAAGTTACATTACTTCGCGCCACAGATGATGCCAAGAGGGCGAGCAGTAGCACAAGAACACCCGAATATCGCATTATCGCACACTCTCTCGCGGAACACTGAGAGCATGCCTCGGCCGTGGTGCTCTTATATACAATCGATGTGGCCAATCAAGTGATATAAATTTGCCAGAGACGATAAACTGCGCGCTTATCTGGCCGTTTAACCTAATCGCATTCAACACATTTGAATCACAATCGATAAGACACGAAAACATTGTGTTGGGGAGGCAATAAATCTCGTGCCTGGGTTTTTTTCAACAGAAGCGAATTGTGTTGATGCTCAGCAGGAGCGCGAAATGCCCTGAAGCACAAGAGTGAATAACTCCGCTAAGGTGGTGAAATAAACAAATCGCCATGAGTAACCCAATACAGAGAGAGAGGCGCAAATGCTTCGCGAAAAGCGTTTTTTTTATTGTCTGCAACAAAAAAAGGAACTCTTAAGGAGCTTTTGGGGTGTTGTGAGAATTACTGCATCTTTTCGATGAAGAAGGCGTCAGAGGTATTTGCTATCCAGTCGCTGTAGCTCGAGAGTCGCGTGTAGACGTCGGGATAGTTGGCGCCACAAGGAACACCCCAGGAAACCACTCCGATCTGCACGTAGCCAGAAGCGATCTTGGTCACGAGCGGTGATCCTGTGTCGCCCACGCACATGCCAGTTCCTCTCACGGGCTGCGCACACATGGCGCCGGAATGGAGCTTGGCAGCGTTGGTCGAGGTGTGCAGAGTGCTGCAGAGTTCATTGTCAATGATGGTCACCGGGAGGTATTGTAAGTTGTCAGCCTGAGCGCCTGGATACTGAAAGATCGTGAGTTAATCTGAAGATTCTCAGACATTCTGGGGAACACATCAACTCACTGCCAGAGTTCCCCAGCCTGAAGCGATGGCTTCGATGTCTCCCATGACTTTAGTCGTTGCAATTCTGATCGGCTGGACGAGGTCAGTGAAAACAATCAGTGTTGCAGTCTTCATCAAACCAACATCATGCTGAAAAGCCTTGGAGCTGTAATCAGGATGAATCTCAATTCTCTCCAAGTCATATCGACTTCCTGTGTCACTTATCAAGTGACTTCCCACAACTGCAGTGCTTTCTCCGACCACTTTAGTGCGAGCACAGACAGCCGAAGTCAAGATCCAGGAGGCACTGACAATGGATCCTCCGCAATCGTGCACATATTCAGGTGTTTGAATTGACACTTGATAGGGAAACTGACCAGGAGCGGCGCTATAGCCGCCAACAATCCGGAGATCAATTGCAGTGGCTGAAATAAGAGCGCATTCTGGAAAGCAATTCCAAAAAGGATTACAAATCTGGAGCAATAAATGTGCAAAAATGAACTTACTTGCAGTTAAAGGTATAAGAAAGAGTAAAACGAACTTGCCAACAGCCATTCTTTAGGAACTTCGAACAATGAATGGGAATTTCTGCCTTGTTGAGACCTAAAAGCACAGTTTTGGCCTATCTAATCTCCACTCAATTGCTCATGGAGTGATCATAAAACAAGATTGGCTACTTCCTCAGCAGCTTTATGAGGTTAAGCCAGGTTGATTTACTTAATTGTGTTGCGAAAGCTTCTTTTTTTCACTTTTTCATAACAATATAATATTAAGGACTCTGTAACGATCTGTGATTTTCCTCATTTTGCTCCTCACATAGTGACTTGCAAAGCTGAGTTATCATAAGTTTATGACATCAGACGCCCATCACTATCACTCCATAATTTATACAGCTGTGTGGAGATACTGATCAGCTTCTCGAGAAGCTTTGAAATACTGATTAAGAGGTTGCCAAGTTTATTCAACGCAACTAAGACTCCATTTGGATCAGAAGCCAATTGTAATAGGTGGAAATTCTAGTGAAGACGTCGGGGAATCCTTGGCCGCAGGGTGCGATTCCCCAGGAAACCACCCCGATGACAGTGTTGCCGACAAAGAGCGCCCCTCCGGAGTCTCCTTGGCACATACCCTCGCCGGCCTGCGTCACTGTGCACACCATGTTATCCTGCAGGATGTGAGCATCGTTGGAGGGCAGTCTCTGGTAGCACTCCTCGTTCGTGATGGTGTGCGTGTTGATCCACTGCAGCGTGTCCGGGAATGCATCAGCACCGTGAGCAGTTCTTCCCCATCCGGACACAGTCGCCACGACGCCAGGACCGATGTGATTGGATCCCAGGACCAGTGGAGCAGCTGTTGCGGAGAAGATGATGGGATCTCGTGTCTGGAGCAGACTAATGTCTCCGGCTTCGTCCCAGGGATACAAATCCGGATGGTTGACGATGCGATTGGTGAAGACATTCGTGCCGCCACTGCTCAGTAGCAGCGCACCGACGATGATCCAAGTGCTTTCGGGCGTGCGATTGAGCGTGCAGTGAGCTGCAGAGCCCACCCATCGATTGGTCAGAATGAATCCTCCGCAGAAGTGAGTGTTGGCAGTGGTTCTGATGGACACTGTGTGAGGAAATTGCCCAGAAGCTGCATCCTGACCACCGACAATGAAACCTTCCCAGCCTCTTGTGAGCTCCTCTAAGTTGTCTCCAAAATATCCAGGGACACCTAAAACACACCACAGTTGATTCAAAAAGGGTCTTTTGTGTACTGAATTTGAGAAAACTCACTCTTACTGGAAACTGCCAGTACTGAAAGCGAGAAGAGAGTCGCCTTGAGAAACATTGCTTAAATGTTGGCCGTGATTCAGTGGCGGGACTTTTTATAAGAAGTTCCCTGAGTTGACCATATCTTATCACAGCTTTCTGAACCACCAATTCATCACCAAATTTACTATAGATAAACAAATAATTGCGTCAATAATGCAGGGAAGAAGAACCAGTTTTTGTGAATTTTCATATGAAAAATTCGCATTATGTTCACAATTTGTGAGAGAAGTTTTTCATGGTAAAACATTGAACTTTATTCTCATCAACTAATTACTGACAGAATCCAAACCCGGAACATTGTCAGTCTTGTGTAAACGTCTGGGAATCCCGGATATGGATTAAGCACCAATATTTGCCAAGAACCAAGACCAGCAGCAAAGCCATCGACTACCAAAACGTCTCCAGGCTCGACACTCATTCGTTCAGCATTTTCTGGTTGCCTAGAGCAGAATGAAGATCCTGGGAGTGGCAAATCAGGTGGCAATAGCAACATGCACCAAAAGTTTGTCCAAGTTTGCGATGTGAACGTTTCCTGAACTCCGGATGCTCTCCATCCCACGGTCGTCGCCTCAAGATCTCCCACAGTATCTTGAAATGCCAGAGAAATTGGCTGCACATTGTCACTGAAGAAGATCGTTAGACTTGATCGAATGAGCGCGACATCGTTGAAAAACATAGGATAATCCGGCACAGCACTGAAACGTGGATGTGGAGCTATGAGGACACTGAAGACGTTAGTGGAAGATTCCTGACTTCCCACGAAAACCCAGAGACTAGCTGGAAATCTGCCTACAAGCGTGTGCGCCACTGTAACGATCCATCTGTTGGTGACGATGAAGCCCGAGCAGAGATGATCATTCTGGAAGGTTCTGATGTCAGCCAGAAAAGGAAATCTTTCGTCAGAATCAGCCACTGTCTTGGCGTGACATACGGCCAAGAAAACAGTCAAGAAGACAAGAAGACGAAAGCTTTGATGAAGCATTCTTGCAAGTTGGTGAAGAAATAACTGATAATTGATCATAATGCGCTGCTTTTATACATTTTGATAAGATGTTGAACTGATAATGAATATGCAAATCATATCTAATTTCACAGAAATTTAAAATCTTTCTTTGTTAAGTTTGTTATCTTATCTTGAAAGATTTTTTTGAAGATATTGCAATTTTCTTTGCTTATCTCAGCAATAAATCGATAATTTATAGAATTCAACCTTCTTAAGACGTCTGTCGTGCACAAGATTTTGTGCATGGCTGAATTTTAAATGTGCTTTGGTTTTTTCGATTAGATAAAATCAAAAATACATGAATTTTTCGTATCTTCTGCACATTGAGCGTCAAAGCATTGCGTTCATTTGCTAAAGAAGAACATTTATTCTTATTTTCAAGATTTATTTTCATCATTCAATTATCGACATAATCCACTCTCTATAGCTTGACAATCTGGTGTAAATGTCTGTATGTGTGGTGCCCGAAGTTGGTGAGAAAGTCCAGGAAGAAAGACCAGCAGCCGTGTTGCCAACTATCAAGACATCTCCAGGTCTGGGTCTGAAGGAAACATCCGATTGTCTTCTAGAGCACATTGATTGGCCGATGGGAAAAGGTTCCATATGATCCAGGTAGAGGGAACATTGTCCAATCGTCAGAATTTCAGAGAAAAACCAATGTGGAACTCCGGAGATTTCGAACAAAGTCCGTAACACGGTAGTTGCCGAAACACCGGCTGAAATTTCGGCGCTTCCCACAGAAATTGGCTGCACGTTTGCATTGAAGAAGATCGTTAGACTTGATCTAACGAGCGCCACGTCGTTCAAATATATGGGAGTGAAAGAGGAACCGCTGTAAACAGTGCGGAAAAGTGGATGAGGAGCAATGAGGACACTTAAGACGTTCGTGTTAACATCGTGACTTCCCACAAAGACCCCGATGCTAGCAGGAAATCTGTCCTCAAGTGCGTGCGCCACTGTAACGATCCATCTGTTGGCGATGATGAAGCCTGAAGAGAGATGTTGATTTTGGAGCGTTCTGACAGTGGCCACAAAAGGAAATTGACCAGGAGCTGCAGTATTAGCATGAGATCCTGTCAATAATACAGTCAACAAGATAACAAAATGAAAGCTTAGACGAAGCATTCTTGCAAGTTGGTTAAGAAGTAACTGATAATTCACAATAAATTGCTGCTTTTATACCTCCTGATAAGACTTCATATCTTATTTCTTAGAATTTAAAATCTCACATTGTCAAATCTTATCTGAAAGAAAGTGAAGAAAATAAATTCTAGATATTAATTGCATATTTAAATCGAGTTGATATCTTATCAAAAGGTATAAAAGCGGGTGAAATGCTGCAAACTGTCCAGTTATTTCTCTAAGAACCTGCAAGTATGCTTCGTCAGAGCTTTCTTTTCGTTGTCTTGTTGGCTGTGGTTAATTGCCATCAGAGTAATACGCCAGCTTCTCCTGGTCAGTTTCCTTTTGTGGCTGACATCAGAACGCATCAGAACGTCCATCTCTGCTCGGGCTTCATCGTCACAAACAGATGGGTGGTCACAGTGGCGCACACGCTTGTGGGAAGAATGCACACCACCACTTGGGTCTTCGTAGGCAATCACGAATCCAGCACGAACGTCTTCAGTGTCCTTTTAGCGCCGCATCCAGTTTTCTGGCCATTGCCTGATCAGTACTCGAACGACGTTGCTCTCATCCGGACCAGAGACACTATAGTCTTCAGCGCAACTGTTCAGCCGATTGCTATGGCGAGTGCCACAACACCAGGAGGAGTTCAAGTCACGACAGTGGGATGGAGACCGTCCAGAGCCCAGGATTGGTTCTACTCCGAAACTTTGACGAATATTGAGTGTGTTGGATACTTGCCGGTTAACACGCCTTTGGCTGGTTCTACACTGTGTTCCCGAAGACCATCTAATAACCCAAATAGAGCCTGGCCCGGAGACGTCTTGCTAGTCGGCAACACAGCTGATGGCTTAAGCTCTTGGAGAATATCTGGTGACGATAGTGTTCCAGATGTTTACAGCAGAATATCCACCTTCAAAGATTGGATAATTTCTGTAATTGAATGTTGAGAAGATTATTCAAAATAAAGCCTAAATGTCGTTCTGTTTGCAGAACGCTCTGATCAGAGCTTTATCACACTTACTTACTACTTACTTACATGCCTTTAACAACCCATTGAGGGACATAGCCTTCTCCATTAGAGGAGATATATACAAGACAAGTTTTTTGTTTTACGGTGACAGATTGTCAGCTTTCCGACCAACCATAAGTGGTTCTAACATGTTTTTCAGTTGGAAAATTCAACAGCAACCCATTTTGGTTGCTATAATGTGTGTGTTCGAAGAACATTTACAAGCGGTGGAATTCGAACACACGACTGTAACATCGAGAGTCAAACGCGTTGACCACTGAGCCACAGCCGCATATCTATATTACACTTGAGAAACCTTATCTTGTGATCGTCTTGGTGTAGACAAAGGAATGGAATTGATAAGCGATTTTTGTGACTTCAATATGTTCTGATTTATTCAGAATCAGCTTCATTACACTTCTCGGTAAATTGATTTAACCGGTGTGAGAGATGATCCAGGTGCGGTGAGAAGACACACGAGCAAAGTTGTCTGGCCATCCATTGGCGCAGGGACCAATTCCCCAAGACACCACACCGATAGCCGTGGTGCCAATGAACAAGGCTGATCCGGAGTCTCCGTTGCACATGCCCTCGCCCTGGCGCGTGAAAGCACAGATGGTGTTGTCGAAGACCATGTTGGCAGTGTTGGCGTTCGGCATTCTAGAGCGGCACTCGGCGTTCGTCAGAGTCGTGGTGGAGAGCCACTGCAGAGTGTTGGCCAGAGGAAGATTGGCACCGACACGTCCCCATCCGGCAGCGGTGGCCTGAAGGTTGCCTCCAACGTGTTCGGATCCCACAGCGAGAGGTTGAACCGTGGCGCTGGTGGCAATGACGTCGCGGGACTGAAGAAGGGAGATGTCGTTGGCCAGAGTGGAGGGAGTGTAGTTGGGGTGGTTCACAACGGCAGAAGTGAAGACATTTGTGCCTCCAGTGCTGAGCTGCAGAGCACCAACGACAATCCAGGTATTTGCAGGAGTGCGGTTAATCGTGCAATGGGCGGCAGACACAACCCAACGATTGTTGACGATAAATCCTCCGCAGAAATGGCTATTGGCAGTGGATCTCAGAGAAGCCATGTGCGGGAATTGACCGGCAACGGCATTCTGGCCACCGACAATGAAGCCCTCCCATCCTTCGGTGAAGTCCGGGAGGTCCTTTTCAACGTCATCAATCACCACGGCTGTAGAGAAAGAGAGAGAGAGAGAGAGACAAGTTAGAAATGTGGTTGAATCAGAAATTTGCTGTGAACTCACTTCTGGAGTAAACTCCAGCCACGCAGAGAGCAATCAAGCAGATTTCGCGAATCATTATCAACACTTCTAAGAAGACTGACTACTTGAAGCCAGCAGCAGGGACTTTTATACCACATCTTATCTGGATGGGGCGATTTAGTTATCGGGCAGCAATTTGGTTTTTCCAACACTGAATGGGTAGATCATTAAGACGGAGATTTACTCGAAGGCCTCGTTGTAAATCAATAAAAGTCACAGATCATTGCGTAGTGGCAAACGCGAACAACAAGGGCAAAGGTAAGACAACATATCTATGCTTCGAGACATCATTTTATATTTCCATTTTTTAAATCGGCAACTGCTTTTGGCGCTGCAGAAGCTTATCCGGTGTGACCGACGAGCCAGGCACGGTGAGAAGACACACGAGCGAAGTTGTCAGGGAAGCCCTGAGCGCAAGGAATGCCCCACGAGACAATTCCGATGGCGTTTTGGCCGACGAAGAGAGCAGATCCGGAGTCTCCGTTGCACATGCCCTCGCCAATGCGGGTGAAGGTGCAGATGGTGTTGTCGTGGACACGGAGAGCGTTGATGGCGTTGTGAGCATCACGGCAGGCCTGGTTAGTAATGGTGTTCACACTGAGCCACTGGAGGTGGTTGGCCAGAGGAAGATTGGCACCCACGCGTCCCCATCCGGCGGCGATGGCCGAAACTCCACCTCCGATGTGAGCGGATCCCATCGTGAGGGGTTGCACAGTGCCGGAGAAGGTGATGGTGTTCTGGGTCTGCAGAGCGCACACATCATTGGCCAGAGTCACGCCAGAGTAGCTAGGGTGGTTCTCAATGCGACTGGTGAAGACGTTAGTGCCTCCGGCGCTGAGCTGCAGAGCACCAACGACGATCCAGGTGTTTCCTGGGTTCCTGTTGATGGTACAATGGGCGGCAGACACAACCCAGCGATTGTTGACGATGAAGGCACCGCAGAAATGGCTGTTGGCAGTGGATCTCAGAGAGACGACATGAGGGAACTGGCCAGCATTGGCATTCTGACCACCGACGATGAAGCCTTCCCAGTTGGCGGCCCAGTCATTGTCTGGCAAGTCCTCGACATCCAGAGCTGCAATAAGAGAGGGAGAATAAGTTTTGTTATTGCCGAAGAGAGGTTCGGCTGCACTTACTTCTGGAGAAAACTCCAGCAACGCAGAGCAGAGCAATCAGGCAAACTTGACGGATCATTTTGAAGACTCTCGCAAGAACTGAGATCTCCCCCTTCAGTAGGGGCTCTTTTATAGTCAGTCTCACGCGACACAAACATCTTTATCTCACGGTCATGAGATTCCTTCTATCATCTGAGGATTTTTCGTTCGGAGTCTTTTCATTCACTAATATCGTCGTAAATCACTCACCCAATCAGTGAAGTGGGTGTTTCCAGAGATAAACATCCCTTATCGCATTGACGACAGAGTGCAGAATTGTTATTCATTGGGATTCCCTTTTTTCATTGATTTTTTAGTACAGGAATTCCAGTTTGAATCTTCGCTAGACTTTCCAACCTGGGAAACCTAGAACTATAGGAACCTAGGATCAAGCGAAGGCATGATCCTAAGTTGAAGATCATCGGATTATGTTAGAATCGGTGAGCTTTCAAATTACGTTTCTTCATACCCAAAAAACTTTACGATAGCTTCAATTCTTTGAATCCATCAATCAGTATTCCTTGGCAATCATACCAATGAAGCACACAATCTTATCGACAGTAATCCCGCCATCTTAATGCATTACAATCGCCTCAGAGTTTTCATGAACGAAGGCTTTGGTGGGTCTTTTCGAAACCAGATAATTATCAATGAATGTTATCATGAAAGATTGGAAATTGATTTGAAAAGCATTTATTAAACTGATTGTATGCAATATTTAACTTGAGCAATTTATTATAAAATCATTTATCCGGTGTGACCGACGAGCCAGGCACGGTGAGAAGACACACGAGCGAAGTTGTCAGGGAAGCCCTGAGCGCAAGGAATGCCCCAAGACACCACACCGATGGCACTGTTGCCGATGAAGAGAGCAGATCCGGAGTCTCCGTTGCACATGCCCTCGCCCTGGCGCGTGAAGGTGCAGATGGTGTTGTCGTGCACGAACTGACGGTTAACGGCGTTGTGGGCATTGCGGCAATCGTCATTGGTCATGGTGTTCACATTGAGCCACTGCAGAGTGTTGGCCAGAGGCAGATTGGCACCGACGCGTCCCCATCCGGCAGCGGTGGCCTGAGCTCCGCCTCCGATGAAGTTGGATCCCATCTCGAGGAAGTTGACGGTTCCAGACCATGTGAGAGTGGCCTGAGTCTGCAAGCACGAGATATCGTTGGCCAGAGTGCTTCCAACGTAGCCTGGGTGGTTCACGATGGAGCTGGTGAAGACATTCGTGCCTCCGGTGCTGAGCTGCAGAGCACCAACGATGATCCAGGTGTTTCCTGGGGTTCTGTTGATGGTACAATGGGCGGCAGACACAACCCAGCGATTGTTGACGATGAAGGCACCGCAGAAGTGGTTGTTGGCAGTGGATCTCAGAGAGACGACATGAGGGAACTGGCCAGCATTGGCATTCTGACCACCGACGATGAAGCCTTCCCAGTTGGCAGCCCAGTCATCCTGGACCTCAAGAGCTGAAGGATGGAAAACAAACTCTTAGTCTACACTTTTCTCCACTTGTAGCAATTGTGAACTTACTCCTGGAGAACACTCCAACGGTGCAAAGCAAGAGAACAAGACAGACCTGGCGGATCATCTTCATGCGTCTAATCAAACTGACTAACCGTCAACCAGTCTAACTTCGCCTTTTATACGTCGCTGTCTCTTTTCGCGACTAAGAAGATATGTTATCGGTCTTGGAACTTAAAAGCGAAAGTTTATCTAACGATTTCTTGGGTTTTCCATGCTTGTTCGTCGTTGAGGAACTTCGCACCAATACGAGACACCATCATGCGAAGGCCTATCGTAAATCACCATGATTGATTTCAGTTAAGGAAACCAGTTGTCTCAAGTCTTTTGAATGAGACTCTCACACTAAGATTATAAGGTTTTCACAGCAAGATAGCGGCAAGGCGAAAAGTGAAGCTGAGTTGTTTGATAACAAACTGCGACGTCTTATTATAAGAGAGAGAGAAAGCTTTTTTTGGTTTGTTTCTTGTTTTGTGCTTTATCAGGAAAAAGCTTTGCTCGAAAGAAGACGGGAAAAGTAGGGTGTCTTGAGGCATTTGGAGATCTCTAGATTGCATGCTTTTATTGAAAATCAGGGTAGGGATTTAGACTTAGAATTGAGCGATGATCCAATTCCTGTGGGAGGAGACGCGATCGAAGACATCAGGGAAGCCACGAGCGCAAGCAATGCCCCAGGAAACAATTCCGATGCACGAATTGCCAACGGCCAGCGGGCCTCCGGAGTCACCCATGCACGTTCCGCGGCCGGCAGTGCCGTGAGTGCAGATCTTGTGGGCGAAGATGCGTCCGCCGTTGCCGCCGTGAGCGCTGGCGCATGCCTGGTTGCTGATGGTCTGCACGTTGAGGAACTGGAGAGTGTTGGCAGCGCTGCCCGGATGGGAGGTCTGGCCCCATCCCGTGACAACGGCGCTCACGCCGCCGCCAAGATGAGTGGAGCTGAGTCCAATTGGGCGGATGGTGGCGGTCTGACTGATGGTGCTGCTGGACATCAGCACGGAGACGTCGAAAGCCAGCGTGTTGGCATTGTACTGAGGATGGTTGTTAATGCGCGCTGTGTTCCAGCGGAAGCCACCTGTGACGCGATTAAGAGCACCAGCGATGATCATGGTATTGCCCAGCGAGCGTCCTCGCGTACAATGAGCCGCGGAGACAACGAATCTGGTGTTGATGAGGAAGCCGCCACAGAAGTGGGCGTTGTTGGCATTCCTCAGGGAGATTTGATAGGGAAACTGCCCGGACGAAGCTGAGGAGCCGCCAACAATCCTGTTCTCCCAATCTTCGAAGATTTTCGGAACGGGGATGTCTGCAAAGGGAGAGAGTTTTAGGGGCTGGAAGGAGAAATTCTTATGATCTAGAAACTTACTGGCACCCAGAGTGGTGCCGATGAGAGCGAGAAGAAGAATGGCTTTCATTTTAAAACAGACTGGCGCAATCACACCTCCAAAACTGATAGATTTGCGCGGTAGACCTCCAGTTTTATACCATTGATAGCAGTGCATTTAGTCGCGTATCTCAATGGCCAGTAAATCCTAATGCGCGCACCATAAATTCCCAATCTTATCGCGAAGCGCCCTATAAATTTCGCAACACTGGGATCTCTAGCCATCTAGGCAGACCCCTCATGAAGCCAAACATTTGACGGGGAAATCCATTCCAGACAGAGAAAATTTCAAGTCTAAATATAGTTAAGACTGATTAATCACCTCGTGAGGGTAATAAATACACACCTTATTACTCTATCGGGAAATACACCTCGCAGATAACAGTGAGATAAACGCCCTCGGGGAGGAATTTGCAGAGTGAAAAGAGTTTTGTTTCCCAAATTAACCTTAAGGGCGATTTGAAGCTACAAGGAAAACATCTGAGAAGGTCAGATATCAAAGATGGAAAGTGTTCTCCCACTTTCCTCAACCACTTAAAGCATGCTCTCAATGGAGCTTTAAGAGTCTCCTTAGGCTTCTATGTTGCTCTGCTTTGCTTTCATGTCAACTGAGAGCCTGGCAATTCTTCAATTTATCCTGTGTGAATTGTGCTTTCCTGAGAATTCCCCGTGGCATAAAGAAACACAATTAAATTCTGTCGAGTTAGTGCATTGTAGGGAATTGTCACCGCCAGTGCAGAGTTATTAGCCTATTTGTGTGTTGGATAAATGGTGAAGCTTCAGACATGGCACAGAGTTTGCAACCTTCTTTCAATTATTCCGCTTACATTCTCCGCACTCTCAGGTTTGCAGGCGGAATTTCAAGTATTCCGTCCACCCTCATTTGGCCATTAAGTGAATGTGGGTGCAAAAATAGGCTGTGTGTGCGGGGGAAAATTGGGGAGGGGAAAAAGGAGTGAAATTCATTGTGCAAAGTGCCACAAAATGGTAAAGTTTCATTTTCAACTGTGCTGTAAAACTCTCCTTGTATTGTTGCCCATAAGTTGGAGCTTTTAAATTCCACCTCACGCCACCCACTTTCGGATTATTGTCACCTTTTTATTGTCCTCGCGCCATCCAGCTTGATGGTTGTTCAACCGAAAAGGTTGTGCAGCAACTCATCTCGAGTCTCCATCAAACAATGAGATATATATTATACTATGGCGAAATGCGTTGAGCACTCTGCAAAGCTCCATTTGCTCTCTTATTTCTCCCTCTTTCATCCCCAAACTCCACACACAGCTCTGGAGCCTCTCCATTGTGTGTGCAGCAATCTATTGTTGAACCATTATCACTCACGAGTGTCCTTTTATTCATTTGGAATAACTCAACAGTGCGAAAACTCTTAACTTTCCCCCGCGGCTTGCTGATAAATTACCAATGCATGAGTGTGAAATAAAACTTTTAGCCATCAGGAATCGAATTTTGATATAAACTTAAGGTTAATCAATCCTCACAGAAGGTCTCTAATTGCATTTCTGGTCTTCTAATTTGCACTGGCGCTGTAAAAAGTCACCCTGCAATTCATCCGTCATGACAGAGGGATGGGGGGAAGGGGGTTGGAACATGTCACAGAGACGTGCGGATCAAAAAGTTTCACCATCAACTCCACTCTCTAAGCATATCTAGAGCGACAAATTTCTGGGCCGCCACTTCAGGCAATGTCCGTGCCAATTCCTCAACCCAAGTCCCTCGGGCATTTGCATAGCCCCTGAATGGACACCAGTCAGTCACAAATTAAAGCACATTTGCACAAGTGTCACTGGCAGCATTTATAATTAAAGGGCGGGCGGGCGAACATTCCCCGAGCGCTGCAGCTCTGAGCCAAGAGAGCTCTTCCAAGGAGCTTTTCGTGTCCACTACAGATTTTAGGAATATTTACTGCCACTTTGACGCAAACTGGCGAGGAGGTTTTGAGCAAAACTCCACAGCTTGCTACGCCCAGACTGACATTCAAAGGCATTTGGGAGCAGCACACATTGCGTAATTAAGTTAAGATGAGGATCAATAAGCGAAAGGATGAGGAAATCAAAGAGAAGCGCAGCAGAATGCTGAGGGTTTTTTTCCTTGATTTACACAATTTTCCAAGCCTAATACGGTGCTTTATATTTTAGGTTATGGTCAATAGTGTGTCCAAAAGAGCGAAAATATTCGCTGAACACTAAAAATATTTCAAAAATACTGTTTTTTTTTCTTAAGTTTTCAGAAGCACACGAGTAAAAATGGCGTCTTTTTAGGTCAAAGACTTCTAAATTTGAGGTTATGATATGGAAAACGCATGTTTTAAGTACTGCCAAAGTTCTAAAAGTATCAAGAAGTGATGTACACAGCTTACCCGTATTATCTCCCCCTTGTTGCGACTCACACAGGACAATTTCCAGAGAAAATTCTTTTCAGAAAATACACTTGATTTTTATTCTGAATACAGCGGATAAAAAAAATCAGCGCATCTTGGCATTCTCAATGTCACTTTCGCCAACATAAAATAAAGAACTTATACGTCATTGTCTGTTCAAGAGGCGGAGTGTATTGTTAAACAAGGGAAAAATTGTCTCTGGCAAGAGGATCTCTTCGTTTCCTGAGTGGCCACTGAGCGCTTTTCAGTCCATGAATTCATGAGTTGGAGAGAACAAGTGGCATTCTGTTGAGGCAAAAAGAGGAAAGTACACCATGAAGATGCTGAAGTGAGACCACAGTTTAAATTGCTTGTGCAAATAGGGGTTGTATCTTTGATGTGTAAATTTTTGGCGTTGCTGGACGAATTAAAGGGTGCTTTCGGTGAATTTGCACAATTCCCACATTTGACCCATTTGACTCCATCCCAAAAAGTGGTGAAATGCTAAACATATTCCAATCTCATTTCCCAGTGTATCCTCTCAGTGATAATGGATGAAATATTTCAATAATACTCCACCGCACAGAGGGAAGTTGGAAGAGTTGGATATGAAAATCACATGCTTTCCTTCAGCACTCGCACTCACGCCTCTTAAGAGTCTTTCCTCCCCATTCCTTCATTGATATGCAGCGTTTGCAATCGCAGGGAGCTTAAAAGCTTCACAGTTTTCATAAATTTTCCACCACTAACTTTCGTGTAAAATCATAAATATTCACACAAACGGCATCACCAATTTATTCACTCTCCCAGCATTCTGCCACGTACTTTTTGGAGTACCAACCTAAAGCCCATCACCACTGAAATCCCCCATGGAAATCCTCTCTTTCTCTCTTTCTGACTCTGGACTTATATACAATTTCCACCATCGAAATATTTTCCAATATTGACACTCCACAACTCACATTATGCTGAATGTTTGTGAGTGATGAATAAAAAACTCCACGAGTTTTTCCGTCTTTCACAAACATTTTTGCTTCAGAAGTTTTTAATTAAATCACCAGCGGTGTTTTTTAAATAAATATTATGCACATGAAATCCTCTGTCAATGAGAAGAGGATTTGGCTGAGCTTTTTTCTTCCTTTCGTCGCAGCATCTTTAATTCTCCTCTCGAGTGCCGTTGTTTTTGCACATGCCACATTTTCCACCCAGTTTATCTTTCCGTTTTTCCTCAGCACTGTCGCCATGCGAAAATCAACTTTTCCAGATTTTCCCAGAAGGGTGAAGACGTCCACATAACATAAGTCGGTGAAAAAACAAACCACAGAGAGGGCTCAAGATGGGCGCGGCCAAAGGGATGAACACTTGGCGAATGTGTTGTACTGATTTGGGGAAGAATTGACAAGTGCTGGAAAAATGGGCGGGACATCCGATGGGGCGTGGCTTACCGGATAGATGTCAAACCGTCGGTAAACTCAAGACGCTGCATGTGTGGTGTACCTGTTCTCTCGTGTCCTTTGCACTCCTTGGCTGTCGCACTTTATTTACAGTGACTTTATCACCCAAATATTGCAACGTTACAATCCAAATATCCCAGTGCTTTTTGCAGCGGGCTCACTGTGGGTGGCATCGAGCCATAAAACAACCCCTCAGTCACTTGTTAGTCATCGCGTGTGGGTTACTTTTTGCAACCGACCTCGGGTCCATGACACCATGTCAAATGTGAAACTGGAATTTTGAGGCACGTTCTGGAGCGCGGCTGGTTTTTTTCCAGCACAATGTATCTATATTGCTGAGGAAATAAATGTTTTCCGTACGTGATTTCTCCAATTCTCGCATTGTGCACTTTTGCAAAACCCACCCAATCTGGTAATTTATTCAATTTTCACCAAGAACAAACTGCAATTCCGCCAATTCCAACTGACAGAGTGGCAGTTGGTGTTGAGATTTGAGCTCTCGTTTTTATTGTGAATTTGCAATGTCATTAAAGCATTTACGCGGACTATAATCTGAATTGTTAGCTTGCATAATTCCTCAGTTAATAACAAGCGGTGGAAGAGACACTACAAATGTGTCTTGTTGACGCAGAAACTGCGAGAGAAAGTCTTTGTCTTGGTCTTTTTCTATACTGTGACTTAAAAGGACTCGCATTAATTGTATTTTTTGCTCAACACTTTTACATTTTCCCATTCACTCAATCAAGAGACAAAAAAGCATAATTCTCCTTGTTCTTCTCATTCATAAGACATGCCTTTATTCCGCCCAGTCTTTCGTTCACTCAATCTCGTTCCAGGAATGCATTATTGAAGGTTTTTATGATACACTCTCTGAATGGCGCTTTGAAGTTAAGAAGATTCCCTTTTTTTATATTGTTCGCGTGTAATTTTATAACCCCTTTCGACAATGGGAGAACCTCCACTCTAATTACATAATTTCTAAATCTCCCCCGAGATGGGCGGAAAGACGAGCTTTTTATTTGCCTCGGGGCTCCTCTGAAGCGCTGGGGGTGGCAGTGGGTGGTCCGTGAAGAATTACCACGCTGTATTTGACTCAATATCACCATTGGAACGTGATTAGGGAGTTGATTCGTGTGTATTGACTCCACTTGAGAGACGCATTCGTTGTCAGACCATCTGCGCTCGCAAACGACTCACTTTTTACGCCCTCGTGACGAGATGTGACTCTTAAGTTGATGTTTTGATTGTTTCGGTGATATTTTTCGTAAAATTTCACATAGTGGAGGCGCCTGGTGGAAAGCAGTGTGCATGAATTGTGCGGATTATATGGATGTTAAATCGCCATTCAGAGTCATTAAGTGGTATGAAAAATTAAACTACACGCCATTGAATTGTACCGATTCTCAGCAGATTTATCGATTTATGCATAAATGTTCTGGGGATATAAAATGGAATGCAAACATTATGCAAATTATGTCACATAAATTGCTATTGTTGAATGTTGTGCGAATATTTTCCCCTTTTGATGTTGCTCACTTGTTATTTATAAAGTGTTTTGCATAAATTCTACCCTGATGACGGTGAAAAATTTCACAAAAAGCACGGCGCTCATCCCTAAATGTCCAATGACAAATGAAATTGTATATTGCTGATCTCAGGAGATAAATCCATCCTCGGCGATGGACAGATCGGGCGAGAAGGTCTTTTATCTATCAAACAGCACCGGAATTTTGAATATACACTGCGTGTGTAGGTTTGAATTCGCTGAGCAAACCACTTGAATAATTCAACAATTTCAAGGGTTCATATTTATTCAATCACCCAGGAAACTCCATTGTCTTTCCTTTCCCACTTTTTACCATATATCCCCATGTTTCCCTTCCATTCCCCTCTTTTTTGCATACGATTTTCCATGTCCTTTGAGTGATTTATGCTGAGTGAATACATATGCTTATATTCATGCCATGCCATTATTGCATATTATTCCATTGGTGAAACACATGGGGAATTCAATAAAAGTTATAATATTCTCAATACAGCCCCAGATCATCTTCTGAATATTTCAGCAACATCAATGTGAATTAATTCTTTTTTCACTGCTCCAGTCACATTTTTATATACAATCCACACGAGTTGTGTATGTTTTTCACATTAATCGCCTTTTGCAACATGCATTTCTTTCAGCACATGCAAAAATTAATGCTAGCAAATGAAACACTCCTCTAAAAAAAAGAGCTTTGCGGAAGCTTTTCAAAAATATTTCCGCTGAAAAACCTTGTTTATGTAACATTTTTATCAACAGCCCAATCAATTACCTATGGCAAATATGCATGAATTTCCTCACGCAATGGCATCCATTTGATTACGCCTACAGGTATGTAACAGATATTTGTGTATCATGCAAGGGGGAGATATTTTTGAAGGAAGTGTAAAAATAGTGATTGGAATCACATGATGTAATTATCTTGAAACCTTAACACACAGAAATAATTTTTATTGATTATTTCTATGCACAAAATGCGTACTTACAAGATATTTCTTCCTTGATTTTAGACGATTCACAAAACAATTCGTCGTTTCTGCTATAAAGTTTTCTTGTGTTCTGAAAAATTGAGCTCCGCGCTTTTTCCCAAGCTTTTTCCTGTTTTCGCGAATGCACAAAGGGTCACTGCCAATCTATTCATTTGCTGGTGAAAGGGTGGTTTTTTTTTCCCAATTCCCGGTCGTCATGTTGAAAGTCCCCACTCAAAGAGAAGTGTTGTTCCCATCCAGTCGAGCATAAATCCAACGCCAGAGCGAAAAATTGCACCACAGCAGTTTTTCATGAAATGTGTGACAAGAGAGATGAAGCAATTTTGCACTGCAACTGTTGATTGGCCATTCAATTCATGTTATCAAATGAGATGTGAGCGATAAATTTACGAAAATTTTTCAACCCTTTTCGCACAAATGTTTAATACGCTTGGGAAGACGGATTCAGGCAAAGGATTCAACAAAAGCGCGTCTCGAGAAAGATGTGGTGTCGAGTGGAGAGGAATGAAAAGCGCGGAAAATCGAATCACGATGGAAAATATCCGATGACACTTATATTTCAAATTGACATGGAAATCGAAGCTGCATATTCTCAAGTTTGAGCTTTCACTCTCTCCTTTCATATCGTCTATTTGAATTGAATGGGATTGCGAAATGTATTTCAAACGCGAGTGCTCGCGAAAACGTTCTCTCTTCTGTCATATATTCAAGTTCTCCTTGGTGGTACAATTATACAACATGGAAATTATCAAATTGAGGGCTTATTTAGTGCATTTCGTGTCAATCATTCAGATTGCGAAACAGACACTTTGGCAGTGTCTCAAGAAATTCTCGTTCATTCATTCTCAGCACTTTTGAGCACTCTCAAAGGTTTTCTCTTACTCACTGAATCCGTCTTAACTTAGTCAGGATTGATTTGAGTGAAGTAAAATGATCTAAAAAAAATTGAAAATCTTGTTCAGAATGGTGAAAACATAGCGAAAACTCACCCGTTGTATTAATTGAACATTGATAAATTAAGCTTTTTCTGCGTGGATTCACTCTAAGCCTCGCGCATTTTCCGTGCATGGCACGATGTATTGAAGCCACTATGAAATGAGGATGCTAATAAATATCCTTATTACTGGTAGCGATGCTTCATTAAATGCGAATCCAGCTAAATGAGCTGGATAGCCAAAATTGCGAATAAATTTCAATTTAGCTGACAATTTCGCTGAAAGTTGAACCTCAAACGGGCTAACCTCAGCCCCCACACGCACTGGGGCAGATGACCCACCCAAATTCTCGTCTCCCCTTCGCCGCCCCATTGCACGGGAGCTTTTTTCCGCGCCCCCGGGAGTGAGACAGCACAGTTGCAACATTCGATAAATAATCTTTATTGCCACATCATTTGCAATAAAATACACATTACAGTCATCCACTATTTGGAGGATATGTGCAGAAGCAAATTTACACCCGGGCGACCTCGCGACGATATTGCCATGAGCAAAGCTTCACTCGTGTGCCCAATGTGTTGTGCATAATTGAAAAAATTGAGCTGAGTTCCGCGGGGGAAAAAACGAGAACTTGCCGGAGTCATTTATCAGCCGCCATAAAAATTCGATGGCAGATGAGAGTGGCAAAAGAGGCTTCAAATCGAAGAATTTCCACACTTTAAGCAGTCTGTCAGATGTTAAAACTATATTAGCAAAGACAATTTGAACCCTTATGAACTCATTCACGAGTTCCAGATGTTGTCTGGCGACGAAGAAACGTCATTGGTGGCAAAGTGCGAAAGGAAGTCATAACTAGATAGTATCTGTGACTAGAAAAGATCCGCAAGGAAGCAATTGAGTTCTAGTCTTTCGTTGATCGATAGGATCCTTAAAATGAAGAAGCTTATTACATAAACTTTATTACTATTCAAATGTTAAATACGTTGCGATTCAATTGCGACGCCTCTTTGCATTGTGAGCGACAAATTAAAAATCATATTCGATGTTATTGAGCTGTGAGCGAAGCACAAGGCGGAATTATTATTGATTGCCAAGGAGAAAATGGGAAATTTGCAATTTTCATCGTTGGGGTGGCGCGAAGGATTGGAACAATAAAGTGCGAGTGAGTATTTTGACGTGATAAATTGATGTTGAAAATGGTTGTGAGCGCAATTGAAAGAGGCGCGCAAAAAAAAGGAAAAGAATAAGGCGATTTATTATTCAAATATTATTAAAGCTCTCTCTGTCGCGCCTTTCGGCAATCCTCCTCGTCTTCAGTGGCTCTCTTCTGCGTGCTGGCGCGAAGTATTTGCCTAACTGTGAATGTTAAGTACATACACCTCTCGTCGGTTACAATTCGATGGATTTCTTTTCGCGGAATTCAGAAGGCTTTTCCCTATGGCAATTGTTGATGTCATAAATATTTCATGCAGCCCCAATCTCTGGGATGTTCACCCATTTTTGCCCTCTTTTGCCGCTACATGGGGATGTTTTTCCTTTCTCCGGCAAACATCTTTCTGCCGCATAATCCCAACCATGCGTAGCAGAAACTGGGTGAGAAAGTAATTCTAACCCTCTGGCGTGGAATTGGGATGAAGGGCCAAATTCCAGAGAGTAAGCTTTTGATTTCTTGCCTGGGCAAAGTTACACTGCAGGGAATTCACGACTACAACACTGTGATGCTAATATTCAGGACTGTTTCCTTTTGCTGTTCATATTTTTGCCGCAATTATTTCCACATTCAATTTGCTGCACATAATAGAAGATGCAATAATGTTTACTTTGCTGTTCGGAAAGATGAAAAACATCCCCACTAATTGACGAAAAGTTTCTACAAGGAGTGTGTGTGTGTTGAGATGAAATTCTGTGAAAAGCAACACGAAGAGCACTTTTTAATAATATTGCTGCGGAAATGCTGAAGGTAAATTATGTGGCGAAGATACGAAAGAGCAATAACACGTGCTATGCATATTATGACATCGAAGAGTCATTAGCACAAACAGAACATTGAGCTTTGACAGTACGGGGAAAGCTCATTACTTTCTGTACTCAACAAGCACCACTCATTGGCACGTCAATCGTCAAAGGATGCTTTTTTATTCATAGCCAAACATCCACGGAAAGTTATTAATCAATGTGTCAGTGCGCCATTGAAGACAACCAAATGCAGATGCCAAATGCGGATTTGTAATGTCATTCATGGCATCGTCGAAGGGAGGGAAATTGGTAGCCTCGAGGAATAGCGATCGGCCCTCACAATTGCACAGACTCAATTGTAATCACGTTGAAATCCGGAATGCATTTATTATGTAAAATTGCTACCAGTTCAATGCATCTGCAAAATAGTCAAATTGGCTTGGGTGGTGTGTATGGCGATATTGGGCAAAAAGGACTCTGAGCACCAGTGTTGAAAGGAAGCAGGAAACAAAGTGGCAATAATTCACTGGCCGAATAATTTCAAACCACTGATCTCTGCTGGGGAAATCAATCTGCATTTAGAGAGTGATGGAGGTTTTGCACTGATTCAAAACTCTCCACCCTCGAGAGAGTGATTGGGAGACACTTTGCGGCAATACCCAGTATATTCTAAGGCCGATACCCTTCCTGCCTCTGAGGGTGGCCATGGGCCATAAATTCGTGGGGGAGATTAATAACTCGAATATTTTCGGGACAGAGAAAAAGGGGGAAACAGACCTCCCTAAATCAGCATACAGATACTTGTCAAGGGGAAGAGCAGTTGCTGGCATTCAGTACACCAACTACTTCATCTGTGTATTAACAACTTCCAGCACTCCTTACTAATTTCCGAATTAGTGCAACTTACAAGCGCCGCCCACGCGAAAGCTCCGCCCATTTGCATGAAAATCTACACCGCATGCGATAAATACTTCCCCTTTCTGTTTCGGAGTCAAATTCAAAATTCACATCAACTCATAAAACCACGGGATACAATACGAAGAATTAAGTTCCACCACTCCAAGTTCTTGTGCGAGTTCCTTTCTTAAGTCTCCACTCTCATTTCCTTTATCTTCTATTATTTATTTTCTGTCCTGGCGGCACTCTTTCCCAACGATAATAGGATATTAAATTATTGTCAGAGAGTTTTCCATCCACTCATAATCACAGTCGCTGAATTGAAATGAAATATATACGCACGATATTATCTCGAGAACACTCAATCTGACTGAGGACACTTGCCGAAAGCTCCCCTCAGATCACAATATCTCTCTCTGGTGGGTAGTTTTTAATGAAATTCATGACAAAGGACATTTCTGGGTGAGGAAATATGATAGAAAACTCTGCACATATTGAAATAAATTCAACTGCTAAAAAATAGATGACAAAAATGACCACAATTTATGAGCATGCATGGGGAAATTCTCATTTGTTACATATCTTCTCGTTTTTCCACGTGATTAATCACTCATGAATTTGCCAGTTGGACATTCCTCTGGGGCTGAATGAATACGGGGAGGGAAAAATTAATTTTTGGCTCGCGACAAAGAGAAGCTCTCTAAACAGTAATTTTCCGTCGACGAAAGGGTGGAGCTTTTTGCTTGTATACACTTCGGAAAGCTCTCAATGTCTTGTGCATGGGGTAAAAAGTTAGCAATATTGCTGGAGTAATTTGTGTTTTACATGCATTTCTGGCCATAAAATTGCATTGTGCACTGTATACCATGCAATTTATATGAATTGTTGATGAAAGTTTGCCGAGGGAGGCCATAAAAATTTCCCCCGTGCGACTGGGGATGCATAAAAAATCATGCCAACCACCACCATCATAGCTATTCCATTCAATTTCACTGAAAACGCGCAGCGAATCATTGCCTGGCAACTTTGGACTTTTCCTGGAAAATGATTGTCGATACTCCCGAACATTTCTGGGAAATATTCGGTGTGATTTATTGGGAAAACTCGATGCTATTCATCGTCAAAAATTGTCGGTGGGAAAATATGAAAATTGCACAACAGAGAGCAAGAGATAATTAAAGGATCGTGCACACTCATTCGCCGTCTGAAGGCAATAAATTAGAAAGTTGTACCTTTTTCATCGGCTCTTTCGGCGACTAATGAATTTCCAACACCCCAAAAAGCCATACTTGACAGAATTCATGCTCTCTCTCTCTGCGCAGAATTTAATAACCAATAAATTTCATCTGCACAGATAAGATCAAGTTGAAATATCGAATGGGGAACTTAGCGAATTTCATGAATATTCCCGACTTCACATTCACTGTTTGATTTTAATTCAATTCCACAACATATTTTATGAAATTACTTACCCAAACTTTCACCTCTTCTGCGCTGTACAAGTTTTTCGTGATTCTCTATTAAGAACACTCCTGACTTTCTCCTCTTTCATGGGCGTTGTATGTGTGTATGGAAAAGTTTAATTATGGCGGATGAATTGCGGAAATACCTGTGAAAATCCTTGGTGAATATTGTTGCTGGAGAGCAACTTTAACTGCGCGATGTAGGAAAATTTTTCAAATTTCATCAGCTGCACAACTTCATATTTGCATTAATGAGAATGTCAGCGAGTGTCACGTGAGTAATATCAAGTGAAAGACAAATAGAAGGAAACAAATAAGAATTTCCTCGAATTCTGGATATTGCGAACTGGCGAAAATCGAGGCTGTTGCGTCTGGAGTGACGCTAGAATTGAGCTCTTCTCATACAGCAAGAGAGATAAAGGAAAATTTTCTACACTTTCAGTGTAGTTTAAGTGTTTAATTTGATATGATTAGGAATTACAAAGTAAGCTAAAAGTAAAATAGAAAATCTTCATGCAGTAAATAAAGACATTTCAACTTATTAATATAACGTTCTAACGCAATTGCTCTGTATTTTTCCATTATTTTTTGAGCGCCACAGAGAAATATATAAGGAAATAATTTTTTTTTCATCTTCATCTTGAACAGTGTACGCCAAAAAAACTTATTTTATTAGCAATTATAGAGATAAAAAGCGAAACGGTTGCTCTTTTTGTCGTGTTCGCACTCTTTCAATATGGAATCGTGACATTAATTCACTTTTTCCACTTAAAAGTGCTGCAAATTAGTCGTAAGACAAAAGCCATTAATGTTTCTGGAGTGATTGCAGAGGGAAGAAACGATGTTTTTGCTGTATTTTTTCCCATTGTTTAAGTGTCTGGCAAAAGACAAACACAGAGACTTTTGCTCGTAACTCCAGAAAACATCTCCACGTGTGACGTATTCCTTTACGCTGCTAATTGGTGGGAATCAGGCTCATGAGATACTCTGAGCTTTGCCCGAGAACGCCAGTATCAATCAGACGCTGAGCAGGTGAAGTTGATAAGATGACACCGCAGCACGAATCGCCGGAAGTGAAGTCTTTTGGGGTGCTGGATTACACAATCCTCACCATCGCCCTGTCGCTCTCCACCCTCATTGGTGTCTTCTACGGCTTCATCTCGAAGCGCAAGCAGAACAATGCCGAGGAATACCTGCTGGGCAGCTCGCAGATGAAGGTGCTGCCCGTGTCCATGTCCCTAATCGTCACCTTCGTCTCTGGCATCACGATGCTGGGCGTCCCAGCCGAGATGTACGCCTTCGGCACGCAATTCGCCATGGCGTTCATCTGCATGGCATTTGTGGGTGTGTTTCTCTACAAAGTGCTGCTGCCGCTCTTCTGCGAACTGCAGATGCCCTCGACCTTCACGTACCTCGAGCGGCGCTTCGGTAGCAGCTCACGCGTGATGGCCAGCGTGGTGTACACGGTCTTCGTGATCATCACCACGCCCATTCACATCTACGTGCCCGCGCTGGCCTTCAATCAAGTCTCCGGCGTGAGCATTCACGTGATCGCGCCGGTCATCTGTGGCGTCTGCATCTTCTACACCCTCTTCGGCGGGATGCGGGCCATCTGCTGGGCCGACACCATCCAGTTCACCACCATTCTCGTGGCCACCGTGACAGTGTCCATCCTGGGACTGAATCTCGTCGGGGGATTCTCTGCGGTGTGGGAAGCGGCCTCCAGAGGAGATCGCCTGCAGTTTTTCACGTGAGTTTGGCTGCGAATTTTCCCACTGAAATGCAATTACTTTGCGATATTTGCTTAACACTCGAAAGCTCGCTAATATTTGCTCTTCATTCACCAGTAATTGACATAAATTGAAGTGTTTTTTCATCCACTTGCATTGATAATATTTGTCCGTTTCCCCAGAATGGATCCCGATCCACTGATTAGACAGTCCTTCTGGAGTGTCCTCATTGGGATCACCTTCCTCTTCACCTACACAATTGGCCTCAACCAGACCACAATCCAGAGATGCCTCGCTGTTCCCGACATCCACGCTGCTCGACGATGTGCCGCTCTTTCCACAGTCGGAATTGTCTTCCAGTTCCTCATCTGCGCCTTCATTGGACTCATCGCTTATGCCCTTTACGAGTCCTGCGACCCCACGAGTGTGGGCATTGTGAAGAAGGTCGACCAGATCATTCCCTACTTCGTGATGGACGTGGGATCGGCCATTCCTGGCCTGCCTGGACTCTTCATAGCGGCCATCTTTTCCTCCGCAATGTCCACCATGGCGGGCTGCTTGAATTCCCTGGCGGCGACAGTTTACGAAGACTTGGCGAAGAAGCTCTTTCCCAACGCCAGCGAGAAGAAGTCCAGCAACATGATGAAGATAATAGTGCTGATTGTCGGAATAATCGAAGTGGCGCTCGTGTTTGTCGTTGAGAAGGTCAATGCCATTCTCTACATTTATCACACGGTGTCCGGCATCACGACAGGACCTCTTCTGGGACTGTTCCTGCTCGGGATGTTCATCCCCAAGGCCAACAACAAGGTGAGTTTGCAAGAGAGCTTCGTTTGGAGAACGCTGGGTTGAATTGTGGATTTTCTAGGGCGCCGTTGCCGGAGCCATTTGCGCCTTCAGTATTCTGGGCGCCATGCTGATCGGCAGTCAGATCTTCGGCACGCCAGCGTCGCCACTGCCCTTCCAGACAGACGGCTGCGATGCCTCTCTGCTGTCCAACATGACAGAGCCCGTGGTTAAGCACATGGTGGACGCCACAGTTCCAGCCGCTGTACCGTGGTTCTTCAGGATCAGCACCTGGTACAACACCCCGATCGGCATCCTCGTGGTCTTCCTCGTCGGCATCCCCGTCAGCTACTTCACGGGCGGCTGCGAGCTGGACAACCAGCGACTGCTGGTGCCGTGGATGCGCAGCGAGGAGTACAGGATGGCCAGGCGCAACCAGAAGCTCCAGGAATTGTCCGTGATCACGGAGAAGTCAGAGCCTCTGCTCACGCAGAAGCCCGCCTAAGATCAAGATCACACTAAATATTTATTGACGCATGACATGAACAACTCCGTGCGATTTGCACAGCAAATATGCACAGTTTTCTTTCATTTCGGTTAAGGAACTTCCGAGAAGAGTGCGTCAAGAGTATTTGCCATGTCTGCTGGGCAGACGACAAGGCATCCAAATTTGCGCTTCTTGAGAAAAGACGCGCGCTCCGTCGCTATTTATAGTGACAACCATGAATAGATGTTATTTATTCCAGCTATTACAAGTTACGCGAGTAATATAGTATAAATATACTAAGTTATATATGCACAGCACAGTGTGTAATTATTTGCTTTAATAAAATGGAGTTTTTAGTATAATGTTTGCTCCATTGATCATGATACAGTTCAAAGATCTACACATTCTTATTGCACACTAAACAAGATTAAAGCTCCCATTTGTGCCTGTGCGTGAAAACAAGCTGGAAAGTCAGTCCATTTTCTTTGGAATGACTTGAGAAACTTCATCATCTGAAGGATGTTGCAGCGACTCACCCTCTTTTGGCCTTTCTCTTGCCATCTCAATGAGGATTTCCGCCGCCGAGAAGGTCTCTGTCTTCTCGTGAATGTCCTCGAGATAATCGTGAAATGGCGAGAGAAATGCCTTCGACAGCGTGTCACAGCGGAAGGACTCGCCTTGGCTTTTGTGATGAACTCAAATAGCGAGGAATTTCCTCATGGGATTCTCACAATGTGCACCGCTCTCCTTAAAATAGAGACTCTGAGAAAGTGTAATGGTTGCTTAAGGATGGAATTTATTTGTTTCATGACTCTACCCATTTCCCCACCAGATTCATTTGACCCAGGAAAGGACTCTTGTGGCCGGCCTTGTTCGTCATTTGGCTGCGTGGCAGGAGCTTTTCTGCATGCACTGTGAGAAAGAATATCGATCGATGTGCCCAAAAAGTCCTGTGAAGCCTCAGCAATGGGTTTGCTTTCGCACAGTGTATGCTGGCACTTATCTTAGAAAGGAGTTCATAATCTTTAATTAAATCAACGTCCCTAGCAATTTATAGCCGTACCCCAAGTCATAGACAGTTGGAAAAAGTTGTATGGCATATTTTGCCGTCGTCCGAGATATAAATAAAATTTCAACCGATAAGAGAGGGCAAAGAAAAGCCACATTGATATGAGGAAATATGCCGCTCAATGGCTCATTTGGAATTCTATTGAGGCCTCACCTTTCTATGCCACACACTTCCCACTGTCGTGGCTTTTTTTCTGGTAAACATCGTTGTGTTGACTTAATTGATAATGTGTCTGGTTTGTACAGAAATAGCAAACTTTTCAATGGTTTTTAACTATATTTAGTATACCTGGGCAACAACAATGTACAAATGTTTATCCTGCAATTATTTGCATTTCCCACTGGAAATTTTCCACTGTTTTTGCCACTCGAAAGCGAATTTTCAACTTGAATCCAACAAACACACTGGTCGAACTTCAATGGATTCCCAAACATTTTACTTGGTATTTTAAATACATTTTGATCACTGCAATTATTTCGCTATAGGCATGAATTTTCATATCGAAATTGCGCACATTCATTGAATTAATCAGACAGTAAAGATATTGACATGGCGTTGGGAATGAGATGAAAAAATGCGCTCAAATGATATAGTTGTCGTCAATATTGTCTTACCTCTTGAGTCTCAGTAGAGAAATTTCCAAGGAAATTGCCATTGAAACACACACAGCTTCCTCGACAGAGAGCTTAATTCTTGTCGGGTAAATAGAGTGATTCTCAGTGAAATGCCGCTCTCAAAGGAATTTCCGAGACAAACACATTTTGCATTAAGTAAACTGCACTTAAGACAAGCTTTTAATAAAGTCGTCTTGAGTGGTTTCGTCGGGAGTTAAAGTGACACAATTTGGAATAATTATGGGGAATTTTCTTCAGTTTTCATTCTTGGTTTTCTACTCTTGACATGATACAAAAGTAATTTTGCTATTTATAAATTTTTCCGCAATAGAAGCATATGAATATTTTTCTCTATGTCATTATCACAAAAATAATTTTGAATGATCAGTTATATGAGTTTACCTCAAATTTCACAAGGTTTCCTCAAAGACTCTTTAAATCAATTTTATTCCGTATAGCTTAGGACCAAAATTCATCCAAGATTAAACGTTTAGGAGTTGTTTTAAGTAACATTACAAGGAAAACGAAATTCGCCAACAAGCTTAAAAGGCTAAAAGGAATGCTAAAGGTTGTTTCTTAAATTCACGATGTCTTTTTTGCAGTTTTTTTGGCCTAAAAACATCAGCATCAGAGTATTTATTTTTCTCAATTCAACGACAGACGTTAGTGTTTTTTCGCTTCACTGTTCTAAGACGACAATAAAACGTATATTATCGGTAGCTTAACTTTGTAAGTGAATTAATTGACATCGTTTGCCTCCCTTTGTGCAGATCTTGGCAACGCTCATCACTCGCAAACGAATGCACTTCTTTGAGTGTTTTTAGCCTTTTTTCCGCCGCATCCGGCCGAGCTTGAGGTTGCAATTCGCGCGGCAATGTCATCATGGGGCAGCCCCAAAGAAAGAGCGCATTAACTTTTTATCACGTATAAAGTTATTCACGCCGAACGCAGTGGCAGTCCAATTCATGAAATTTCGGGGCGGATGGGAGGCAATTTATGGGCTCCCACGATAAGCACTGGATGGAGTGGCATAAATAAAAGCCGCAGAGTTTCCGGTGCACAGAACTTTCGCACTCAAACTTCACCCCCGCTCGTATCGCTTTGGTGAGCCGCAATGTGGCCATTGCTCGTAATTCTGGCATTTCTTGCTCCAGCCACTCATGGTGAGTACCACTTGAGATTTCCTCGCAATGGCACCTCCTTATCTCCGCTTTTTTCCGCACGCCGCCCGCTAAATTTCCCACGAGGCTGCTCCGCACTTCCTCCGGCGCCGCTTTAATTATTTTGCATCTCAGCGCGCGGCGCGGAGATTAATCTGCGCCACCCCTCAGTGCAGTGAGAGGGAAAAAAAGGGCGCATCGCGCGCCCAATTTCGCCCATGGAATTCACTTAGTGCCGCCGCGGAAAAAGGGTGTGACTCATGTTATGCAAAAGCAGCGCATAAAATTGAATAACAATAGCGCCAAAGTAATGGCAGTGTAATGATTATCGTAACTTTTAATGACATGCCACTGGAGAGGACACGATTTTCGGGGGAGATTTCATTAATAGCCATACAGTTATGTCATATGACATCGCGGCATTGGATATTTTATTGCCAATGCAGAGCGCGGAAGCCATTAAGAGATGTGATCACGTTTGCAAATTACTTTGATTTTTGCCAACATTATTTTAAATGGCTTTTAATGGTATAGCAAATTGATGAAAAAGGACAGTTTGAGCGAATCATTAAAAAAAAAATTGTGTAATTTTCGCAGGGAATTTGGGAAAAGGATTCGGTTTACCATATCGTTTCCATTTTGCATACGCAGACTTAATGCGATTGCGAAAAGCGCCCAAAGTCCACGAGTTTAATTATTCGGCTTACACTAAAGCTCTCGCAATCTTCAAAGGTGAGACGGACAGCGGTGACTACCGCATCGTGGGCGGTCAGCCCTTCAACGGCACCGCCCTTGGTTACCACATTTCGCTGAGGATTCGGCCGTACAATTACCATGTCTGTGGTGGCGCGCTTGTGGCCTCCTCATGGGCCATCACTGCTGGTCACTGTGCGTCCGCAACCGCTGCGGGTCCTCTGGAAATCGTGGCCGGGGCGCTGAAGTTGTCAGACGCAGGAGAGCACTATCACGTGGCGAAGATAGTGGTTCATCCGCACTTCAATAATCAGACGCTCAACAACGATGTGGCGCTCATGAAGACAGCCATTCCGGTGACATTCGGCGAGAAGATTTACCCAATCCAACTGGCGCCCAGAGACTTCTTCGTCGGCCCGGGCGTTTGGCTGCATCTCGTGGGATGGGGAGCGTTATCGGTGAGTACACAAAGGGATCGAAAATGTGGGCAAAACAGAGCTCAGTGAAATATTCTGCTCATTAGCGTGTGTCCATATTAAATCATGATGATTTAATGAGCAAAAGTTCATTTTCAATTGCATGCTTTGAATTTCATGCCTCTGTCTGTAAATGTGATTCGCCAAAGCCACACAGCCTTTGTATGATGGAACGCATATTAATTGGTCTGCATTGATTTTCACAGTATCCCAATGGAACCTCACCCGATCACGTGAACCACATTCGACTGCGCTCCATCACGAATGCCGAGTGTCTGGCCAGGTATTTCGGCACGGGTGTGCCTCCTGTGCAAATATCTCAGCTCTGTACGTTCAACAAGCGCGGCCAGGGCTCCTGCAAAGGTGACTCGGGAGGTCCGCTGGTGGTGCAGAACATCCTAATGGCCATCATCTCGTTTGGCGTGCCGTGCGGCAGCGGATATCCTGATGTCCACACGAGGATTGCCTACCACAGAGACTGGATTGACAAGGTAATCGAGGAGCCAGACGATTCAGAGGAAAGCTCATCAGATTCCTTGTCAGATTCCATATCTGTCAGCTCGTCAGAAGAAGATCAAACGCCCACGGAGAATCCTCAGACTGATTCAGTGACAGAAGCTGAGACTGATGCTGAGCGTGAAAGTGAGAAAGAGAATTTGAAATAAAATACGCGCGATAGTACTTATCAACACTGCGTATTTCTGCGTTACGCGAACTTTGCGATAAATCCAGTTCTACTGTGTACGAGGCCATTATTTCCAAAACACGATATAAATTACTATAACAGGCCTCATTGACCCTGGAAAAACAACCTAATAAATTGTATTAAATCATGATAATTACAATGTGGCCGGTTTACGATAATTTTGTGTTTGAAATCTCTTATTTTATGCACGAAAATCCACGAGTTTGGGACATTTTCAGAAGATAAATTTTCACAACACGAAATTTATGCAACACAAATTTGTAGAAACACAATGCAATCAATTCTCCCGCGAATTTTGCCCTGAAGAAACTAGAAATATAAACACAACTTCAGTCCTTTTTCTCACACACACACTCATTTTTAATAAGTTCACCAGGACATGCGGCAAGTCAACGTTAAGAAGGAAGCCCGGTGTGAATGTACAAACTTTTTTATAATAAGCGAAAAATGTGAAATTAAATTTTATTCTAAAAGTTTCTTAATTAACTGCCGACAGAAGAAACTTGAGGAAGTTTTCAATGAATTTTTATTACAGATTTCCATCGCTATGACCCACGCTTGGCCCTCCCTGACGACAGGGAGAGGCTCAGGTTTTTCGGCGAGAAGGAAAATTCAAACAATGGAAT